ATATATATATATATATATATATTATAGTTTTTAAAAATAATAATAAATGACATGAAACATTGTCACCATTTTTCAATACTTCAAAGGGTGTGATTTTGTTTTGCTCAGGAAATTCTGGAACTCCTTTTCTGTTTTGCTGGTTTTAATTTTATTAATGTATAATGAATTGTGTTAGTAGTCCTGATATCCAGGCTAGTTACTTGGGTAAAAAAGTTACCTCTTGTTTAGGCATGTGTAGTAATCATTTAGGTGAGTTTTTCTTCATAGTCTCAATGTATTGGCGTTCTTTCCGCCTTGTATTGGAGGTGTCTCTTTATTCTACCATATTATGGCCCAAAACTGTTATATGGATTTAATCTTCCTTTTTATATACAACTAAGATTTTGATCTTTATAATGTTTATTCATTTCGTTTTAATTCTATAATTTTTAGATTTTAACAAGTTTTTTAGTCCCTGGTTTTTATTTGAATTTGTCTTTTGGAATCAATATTTTAATGACCGAAAAAATAGATTAATTTCATGGTGTATAGCTAGTATTTTAAAGACCATAACTAATATCAAGGCTATTAAAAAATTGGATTGATAATTAATCCATAGGAATTATAATTTAAACTTATGAACATATAGGGATGTTATTGAAAGAAAAAAAAGTGTAGAGACTGTATTTAGTTTAGTTTATATTATAAAATTAGTTTTTAAAATATTTTCAGGAAGCTATTAAATAAATATAATTTAGTAGAAAAGAAATAACTTTAGTCAGGCATTAACCGGAATGAACGAAAGTTATGATTAAAAATTTATGCATGTTAATTTATAAATTAACGTCACTAAATTCTATAGCTTTCAATTACATTATGTTTTTATGCTGTTATTTTAATTGTATATTATCATGTTTTATGATAAAAATAATTTTTATTAAGATTATTTTTAATTGTTTAATAGTATCTATATTAATGTATAAAGGAAATATTTTTTTGATAATTATTTTGGTCTTTATTTTTTTTAATGTTATACCTTTTTATCTAAAAAAAAATAAAAATAAAAAATATTTTTTAATCAAATTTAAGAAGTTAAAACTAATAAATTTATATTAATATATAAAGAGGATACTATTTTCAATAATTATTTTTAATTTTTATTTTTACATAAATTATTTTATCTTTTATTTATTTTTTTAATAATTATATTTTTTATGAGTATTTTTTATTTTTTTAAATATAATATAGGTACGAAGTGCTTTTTTTTTGCTAGTACAAAATAAATTCAATTCTAAAACTGATAAGACGTAAATTAAGTGTCGGGATGAACTTCAATAAAATTTTATTTAGATTAATGTAATTTTATAGAATTGGTTGTTTAAAATTGATTTTAAAGTAATGTAATTTTTTCTTGATAATATATGTTAAAAGTGTTATTTTAATTTTTTTTCTTTTTTGGATTTAAGAATCATAATTGATTTTGAGTGATACTAAAAAATTAGAAAAAACAATGTAGTAAATTTAATTAAATAAATAGTCATCAGTGTAAACTAGACAAGGCATGGCAATTGATAGGACAATGCAAAAGGTATACGTTAGGGTAAATTGGACAAAATATAATCGAAATTGATCTTCATATGAAGCAGAAATAACCTCCTGTTGTTTTCAAACTGTAAAATCTAATTCAAAAATCTTTCAACTTAGTAACCAAAAATCATAAATTTTAGTCAAATCATGTTTGACGCAACTTACCATGTTCAAACGTTAAAAAAAATAAAAATTAAAGATATATTGTGTTCCAGTTCCAGTACTACTCTCGGTAAACCCCTATAAAGAAGATGGATGAACAAAATTTCTATTGATATTTTTTTCAAAAAATATCCTAAACGAACTTGTGTTTGCAGAATTCGTTATTACATATTGTACACTTAAAAAAAAAAAAAAAAATCAACGTCAATAATAAAAATACAAATACCCCAGCTCTATTTTTCTTTTATTATTAAAAATTATATAGCTAACATTCACTGGTGCTGTCATCAATCACCAATATGTCAGATTCAGCTCAAAAGCAAAATAGATAAGATCCATGCAAATGCTGAAATGCATCATGACAGATACATGTGCAGGGTATGGGGTTAGACACGTGCCTGACCCGTGAACCCTCCTGCTCATATAATGCAAACTCACTAATATCTGTAGTATTTATAATATATATATATATATATATATATATAAATTAAATATTA